TCTCCCGGTTCACAAAAAGGGATGAATTTTTATTGATAAAAATGAATGCACAAGTTAAAAAAATGCACAAATTCATTTTTTGGTCAAAATTGCACATTTTAATTGAAAACTGCATAATTCAAAATCCACTGCATATTTCAAAAGCATAGTTCAACAGCATATACAAATTCCAAGTCAAGTTCCAAATTGTCAAAGCCAATATGCAACGTAAACTACCCAAAGCATGTGGGAAGAGGCAAAAAAAATAAGCTCCCATGCTGTACAATATAATTGACAAAGAGGAAATGTGCAGTTTAAAACCAAATATGCAAGCAATGTATTTTTCTAATTCTCATCATTTTCCAGCTTTCACTTTTTCAGAACCAAGTATAGTACATCACATTTTAATGTCAAATTGTACTAAGGAGAGAGAAGAGAGAAAGAGTGTGGGTTTTACAGGTTTTGGCTTAGGCAGGAAATGGATACAAAACAAATCAGCAGTAACACAGTAAGAAAAGGAAAGCATGAAAAAGGATACCAAACAAACTGAATGGAGCAGTATAGAGTGCAGAAGCATCAAAGAAAATATAGTAAAATATTCAGAACCTGTAACATAAGCCAAAGGCAACCAACTGTTATAACAAGACAGAACCCTTCAAGAGTAGAGAGATATCATAACCGTTTGGAGAGCCTAAAACCAAAAACTGAGTTCAAGAACTAAAACTGCAACATAAACCAAACATACATACAACCTGCATTCAAAACCATGTCAAAACCAAAACCATTCCAAGCCTAACCAGTAAACTGTCCAGCCAAAGCTTATAGCCTTTCAAACCATAACCTGTAACACAAAGCAAAACCAAGGCCACAAACCATGTCAAGGCCATAACCTGCATAAAACCAGTAAAACCTTACGGCCACAAACCAAAAACCAGGCCAAGCCTAAAGCAAAAACCAGGCCAAACCTGAAGCAAAACCAGTAAAGCCATCACCAAAAATCATAACCATTTCAAAGCCAAATATCGTGTAACCATGGCCTGAAAAAACCAGTAAACTCAAAAGGACCAAACCTGTAGAAGCAAAAACCAGGCCAAACCCGAAACATCCAGGGCCAAAACTCGTACCAGCCATACACGCCCAAAGCCAAAAAACCAGAACAATGCAAACCTTTATCAAACCAATGTCCAAACCCATCAAGCCTCAAAAACATTCATCATAGGCCAATCCAAAAAGCAACAGAAGCACAGTAAAGAAGAAGAGAGGAAAAGTATTCAAGCATCACAATCCCTCAGACAGTAGCATCATAGGGCCAACATCAAGGTAACTCAGAAGCATATTCAGTAAGCCAAAGAATCAGAGAAGAAGATAAAGAAGCGTTTCAAGGCGTCAAGATCATCAAACAATAAGCATACAACAAGCTAGCAAGAAGAGGAAAAAGAAAGAGTACTAGGGAGCTTCGTTCATGTTCCCTCGCCGTCTTGGCCTCCTACGCACGCCCCCAACCTTCCCCCTCCGTCTCCAAAGGTAACATTTCTCCTTCTCTTTCTTTCAAAACCTCAAATAATCATAATAGTTTGAAGTCAGAATCAAATGGATAAAAACCATCATAACATGCAGTAGCAAAAACCCCAACGAAATAAAATGAATTGGTACCTTGAGTCTGTCGCCCTAACGCTTTGATTGGAGGGAAGAAGAAGGTGGAGGAGGTCGGTGGCCTTGGGAAAGGAATTCAGAAGCTTAGGCAAAGGGAGGCGAAGAAGACGATATGGACGAACGAACGGCGCTTCTGTGCAAACCCTAATCTGTTTTCCCCAAAACTAAAACACATTGTTTAACCCTAAACAAATTATAATGTATGGACTCAACCCATTTCATCCACCAAAGCCCAACGAATCCCTTTATGCACCCCTTTTTTTCTGTTTTGATTGGACCCTTTAAAAACCCTTTAGCCCAAACGTTTTCTACTAACACCATCCCTTTATTTTTGATACCCTTTTTCTATTTACTTTCCTTTAGTTTTTTTTAGAATTTTATTAATTTAGTTTAATTATAAAAGTTAATCAAATAAGAGGTAGTTTAATTAAACAAATTTTAAGTAATGTGACCAATTTTATTAGTTTAAACTTTAAGATTAATTTAATAATTTTAGTATTCCTTTTTTTTAATTAGACTTAAGTTAGTAGCTATTAAGTTTTGATTTAGTTTAAAATCATTTAATAATTCTTAAAAAATAATACTTTATATTAATATTAAAAAACATATAAAAATAGAAACATATAAAATAAAATAAAACTTAAAAAAAAACATTTTATCTTCTTTAATTAATTTCCTCGCTTTAATTAATATTAAATAAAAATATAAAAATGCATGTTCACACCATTTAGTCTTTTATTTAATTGTTGTATATCACTTATCTATCTAATTTTCTGTTTAATTATTTCATCGTTATTTGGTTATTCTGTTTACGTCTAAGTCCAGGAGAAAAATGGTTGAATTTGTTGACTTCATGTCCTCAGATCCAATCACGCGAATATCTTCATCTCATTAAAACTTAAGACAATTTTCCCTCAAATACTCAATCTTTTCAAAACTTATACCTTTTAAGTCAAAACTTCGACATTAGGTCGTCGTACCTTCAAAAACCCGTCCGTACCCCTTTTCGGCCAAAACAATTTATTTTTTTAATCAAACAAACATTTTAATAAACATATATTTCAAAAGGTTCCTATAGAGTGCTATAGATACATTGGGTGCTAATACCTTCCCATTGTATAATCAACCCCCGAACCATAGATCTCTTTTCAAAAAAACGCCTTGTATCTTTATTACTTTTAGAAAGTACTATTTTACATTGCATATTTAGGGTTTTATTTCTCTCTTTCCCCTTTTCCCTTGGAAATAGTAAAGCGCGGTGGCGACTCTTGCTTTTGTGAGACGAATTAATCAATAATTCGATCTCCGATTTACCCCGCTACATTTTTTATTGCTACAGGTACCAACGGAGAAAAACTACCAACTTAATAATCTTCCAATAAATAGAGGCATCAACAAGGCATAAGCCTTCAACTTAATATTTTGCCAATCCAGGCCAACTTGATGAGCATCTGCTCCAACTTGATATGCGGTGTATGTGACACAACATGAATGTAGCAACAACAATAACAAACAACAAATCAACATAAATCAACGTTAGTGTTTTACCCCAAAATTTTCCCTCTCACTTATCAAGAATTTTTCTTACAAGATCTCCTTTGACTCAAGACTGCATTAGGGTTAATCAGCTCAAGACACCTCCTTAAACACTGATGACCAAAATTAGGGTTTGAGTTTGCACAAGGATATTTGAACTTCCCATACCCCATATGACTTTCATGGATCATTATGGACCCTCAAGATTTTTCATGTCAAGTTTCAAGCTTTGGATCACACTTTTGCTCAGTCAATTGAGCAGTTGACCTAAAAATCAGTTGTATTGGGGGAAAAGTCAACCATGGCCAATTTTCAATCAAACTTCATAATTTTTTATCCATATCAACATTTTAAACTCATATGTATCATTTTATCAATTTGGACCATAATTCCTCAAGAAATTTGATCAAATCTCCAAAAGGGCAAAATGGTCAAAATTAGGGTTTTGACTGGGAAAGGGTAATTTCAGATTTTTGACCTAGCAAATGATCAATTGGTTTAAGGCATGATATCAAGAGTTAAATTTAGTCATTTTGACCTAATGGCATGGTTCAAAACATTGCTCAAGACCAATGGATTGATAGATGAATTTCCAGTCAACTGATCAAAAAGTCAAGTGTACACTGAAAAGTCAAACTTTAACTTTTTGGTCAAAATTCAATGTCAAAGATCACAATTCATCAAAACATATTAAAATATTGAAACTTATTCATCAAGAAATCAAAAAATCAAGATTTCATTTTGAAAAGTCAAAGTTTTCTAACTTAGAAATTTTTCTAAGTGTTTAAACTTCATGTTTTTTCTTAACTTTGGGCCAATTTTTCACCATGATGCAAGATGATTCAAAAGAAACTTACAACATGAAAGTTGTAGATCTCCATGAAATCTACAACTTTTCTTCACACAACTCTTCCCAAAAGTTCTTGGATCTCAAGTTATAATTTTAAGAATACATGGTCATGAAACAAAAACACTTAGTGAAATTTTGCCCTAATTTGGTCAGGATTTGGACCTAACTTCATGGAACTTTTTCATATAGTTCCAAGGGGAATTTTCAAAAGTGATTCAAATATGGGTTGTAGAGTACATTGCAAGCTTTCCAAAATTTCCAAGAACTCCTTGAGATTATTTTTGAGTAGGGAGAATCAAAGATACGAAGTTAGGGTTTTATCACTTGAATTACAAGTCATTTTGTGATGAACAAATTCAAAATTCAAAGTTATGCTGCATAACCTCTACTTTGCAGGCCTCAAACTTTTTAGGAACTCCATAATTAATTGCTTGCACAACTGTTAGAGGTCTCATTTCAAGCATTCAATGCAAGGCCATGCTTTATGTCCATTTTGGGAAGAAAGTGCACAATGCCATTTTGATAAAGTGACTTTTTGCATAAAAACTTGTTCTTGAGCCTTGTAATTGTTCTTTTCTGATCATACATGTCTCATAACATAAGAGAAATGGTTTAGACACTTACAATCACCCAGCCCATGCTTGTACTACACATTGAAACTTGGTTTCCCACTTTTCTTAAAAATCAAGTAACATAGCAAATAGCTTGTAACTTGTACTTCTGACTTTCAAAACCACTCAAACCTCTTTGCTTATAGATACACAAGACATTTGCCACAAATACCATGTATTCTTGACCCCTAAAAACACCAAGAGCTCAGAACTGTATCACATACCTCCATTGTTGCCTAACCTGACCAAAAGTTTGAAACTCACATCTCCCTCGTGCGTTTTCAAGCCTTTTGGTTCCTAAAGTTTCTAAACATCATTTAGAACTCATCCCACACCCTGTTACAAGACTGTAACACCATTAACACCATACACTAATAAGTAAAACCTAGCTTACCAAGGAAGTTCTTTGTGACATCAGAGAACTTAGCTTGGGTGGCAATATCTTGGATGACTTTTACTCTAACATCCTTAGCCACAGATATATCCTTTATAAATTGTGAGGTTATGGGACTACCCTTTACTCCCTCAACAAACTGAAGAAGCTCAGAGTCAACCTTGTCGACCGAATTAACTTTCACTGCTGCAATATACAAAGCAGAGGCATAGTTTCCTGAACCTCCAAACATTGCGATGGGGACCTAAAACAACAATTAACCGTACCTAATCTTTTGATTTGTTATATTTTCTTTTCTTCTTCTACTAATCACAGAAAGGAATGAACAATTCAAGACCATTAAATCTGATTACCTTAATTTTGGTTTCCTTTTGCCCCGGCACATGAGCAAAATTTCTGAAGGCCTGCACATGCATGAGAACATTGATTTACTGAATCGAATCAAAAACTCCAACGATCGAACATTGATTTACTGAATCGAATCAAAAACTCCAACGATTGAACATTCATATACTGAATCGAATCAAAAACAAGGGAAATTGAGAACGATTGATTCACCTGGGAAATGGAAGGCGCGATGAGGGAGCGTTGAATAGTAGATCTCTGAGAAGAAAGAAGAGATATCCCGGATTTGACGCGACCGTAAAACGCCATCACCGCAATTCGAAACCCTAATTTCGTTTTCTCAAGTTTTCTGTTTGAGGGAGTAAGAAAGGAAGTGATATATGGAGAGGCACGAAAAAGTTGTCTGATCTTGGTTGCTCCAACAAATAAAATTTTTTCTCCTTTTTTAAATTCAAACAATTTTGACATTCTTTCACATTTTTCAGGAAAATCAATGAGATGTTTTTTTATTTTATATTTTTATTTTATTAAATTTCACAATTGATTTATATACTATGATTTATTATATTTCACGATAAATCTATCATTTAAAAAAATTAGCGGGTCGCATTATGCGCATTTATTTTTAAAATATAATTAAAATAAAATAATTTCTTTTAAAAAAGATAATAAATCAGTCCCTATAAGATTTTCAATATATAAAAATATTTTAATGAATAATATTTATTTTTTATATAAATATTACTTTTGTTTTGAATTGTTGTAAAAAATATTTAAAGCAATAGTAAGATGTTCTATTAATATTTAATATTTTGATTATTAATTTTATGTTTCTGTTAATATTCAATAATTTGATCAGTAACTTCATGTTTCTGTTAAAGTTTAATATTTCGATTAGTGATTTAATATTTCTGTTAATATTTAATATTTTGATCAATAATTTCATGTTCCGTTAATGTTCAATATTTTAATCAGTAACTTCAAAGTTGGTGAACACCTTTTGGAATTGTTGACCTTCGTCAGTTGGAGTCAACAAGACGAGTCTAGTCCCTTCGACCCTTCTATTCGGGACTTCTAGAGCCCTCTCGTTAATCTTATTCTTCTGCGGAAGAAAAGATTCAAAAGTGGCGTTTAGTCAAAGTTGTAGAAGCCAAAAGGGGCCGGAAAGAAGTAAGATCGCCTTATCCCCAATAACCTTAAGTTGATTCACACCATTGCTGATGGACTCATACAGGTTGGCTAGAATCAACTCAACCAGACAAAGAGGATAACCATGATGAAGTTGTGTTGCAAGAGTAAGCATTTTCTTAGTCACTTGAAGTGACTTAGTGCAAAACACAAAACGAGATAACCACAAAGCCAGAAAATTTATGTGCTCCACTTCAGAGACAGTGGTACTCGATTTATCATGGAAATGATTGATGAATACGGTATATGTGGGCTTCGTGGCCGAAAACCCAATGGGATCTTCAGACAGATCCTCGGGATCGAAGTAGTCACTCGTTGGTCGAAGACCAGTAATGGCAGATATATCAAAGAGAGTTGGCGTTACCATTCCACAAGGCAAATGGAAGGTAAAATGGGTGTTATCCCTGAAATACAGTGAAGCCACCAGCATGAGAGCGCAATATGCTAACCCAGTCTTCGACGACATGATAAAGTCATAGATCCCCATATCTTTCCAGATTTGGGCTTGTACTTGTGTTGGCTCCTAAATTCGACACCCTGGTTTCATTAATGTCAGTCATTGAAGCTGAAGGATGTTTTCGACCAGCTAGGTCCGTCGAAATGCCCATCGAAAGATGGCAATGTACTTAGAAGATTTCTTCCAAAGGAGAAGTTGGTTGCCTTCGACGTCGAAGGTGTTTCTCGTCGAAGATGCTTCTCGATGAAGGTGTTCGATGGTTCAGAGTGGAACGGTTTGAAGTTCAAGCGTTTGGAGGGAAAACGGTTTCCAGCGGTTATCAAGTGCAACGTGCAAAGATCTGGAGCGTCGAACGTTGAGAACGTGCCAAGTGGGATCATCTTGAAGCAGTGTAACTGCCCGACGGTTACTTGGGATGTTTTAGTATAAATAGTAGTAGTTCACGCAGTTTCTCGTGTGTGTTCACAACTATATACAAAGTCACTCATATAGATTCGAGTACCCAGCGTGTGAGAAAGAATTGTTGAGAAATGTATGTGTGAAACACCAACTTTATTAATCAAAGTCATTTACTTTTCCAGAAACTTTACTTGCTTTCTTCTTTACTTTCCTGTCGAAATCCTTTACTTTAAGCCTTAATTTATTTTACCAAGCCTACTTCTTCATGCAATTTACTTAAAGCCTCTTTATTTTATTGCCATTTAACCAATATCCAATTTACTCAAAACCTCAAAATCAACCTATGTCCTAGGATCAATCTGAGCGATCCTGCGAGTAACCAAATAAGTAACCATTGGGAGGATCAGCGGTTGTTTACCAATAACTACGGTAAACAAATTGGCACACCCGGTGGGACTGTGTGTTGATTTTTGAAAATAATCTCATCTTTTCGAGGAGTGTTGCATGTTATTGAGAAGTGGTAGAACATACACTAACGATAATAATACTGCTAGAAGAAGGGAAGAGATGGCGAATCCGCCAAACAATAATGAAATCCCACAAACGAATGTGGGAGCAACGGTTATCCCGATCGTAAGTGAAGCGATAACTGCTGGTTCGACACCAGCAGTAACGGTCAAAGCAACGGGGCCATTACCTCCGTTCACAGGCCCCAGAGTGCCTTTGGGAACTCCCCCACCAAGGGGAAATTTAGGCACAAGGCCTTTTGTTCCCCCAGGATTTATGACAGGCGGTCATAATCGAGAACTACTCTATGGCATGCCAACTTCTGACTTGGCTAGCCTGACGAATGTTGCGTCCACTTTTTCAGACCCTTTAGTGAGTGCCTCTTCGCCACTCCAAGGTTCTGGAGTAGGTATGGCAGATAGAAATAGGACCCAACTCTTAGGAGGAACGTCCCAAGTAGCCCATGGCCTTACAAATGCCTCGACAGCCGTCTTGAGGCAACAAATGGACGAAAGCAACCATGATATGGTGCAAATGTTGGCACAAACTTTAAGTACAGTGCTGAACCCTCTAATACAAAACACTACTCAATCGAATCAGCAGATGACAGCGCAAATGACGCGTTTGGCTGATTTCTTTGGAGTACCCCAACCTATTCGACAGCCCCAAAGGGCGCAAATAAGGGGAAACCAGGGTATATTTTTAGAGGAAGAAACCACCATCAACCAAGTCCAACAGCCTGTCGAAGAAAACCTTAGGGCACGATTGGAGCAACCTGTCGAGGAACCTAGGGTAATAACCCCAGAGGTAAGGTTAGTTAACAGAAACCAAAATGCTGACGAAGTAGTTCAGCATATCCAATACCAAAACATGGGTTTGGAAAATAATCTGGCAACCATGATCGAAAGGATCATGACTCAAAATGGGATGAACATGGGCTTTCGAAGGCCCAACTTTACGTCCCCATTGTCAGAATACATGTTACAAACAGACTTACCTCCTAGATGCAAAGTCCCCAAATTCACTAAGTTCTCTGGGGACACGACAGAATCTACTGTCGAGCATGTGGCGAGATACTTGATCGAAGCAGGAGATATTTCGAATAACGAAAACCTGAGGATTAAGTACTTCCCAAGTTCTTTAACAAAGAACGCTTTTACTTGGTTTACAACTCTCCCCCCCAATTCGATCCATCATTGGACCCAGTTGGAAAGATTGTTCCATGAACAATTCTACATGGGGCAAACCAAGATAAGCCTGAAAGAATTGGCCAGTGTAAAGAGACGTTTCACTAAACCTATAGACGAATATCTAAATAGGTTTAGGTTGCTCAAGGCGAGATGTTTTACACAAGTGCCGGAACATGAGTTAGTCGAAATAGCCGCAGGCGGTTTAGATTATTCCATTAGGAAGAAGTTAGACACTCAATACCTGAGAGACATGGCCCAACTGGCCGACAGAGTTCGACAGGTAGAACGCCTCAAAGCTGAAAAAGCAAAGGCAACGAAAACTCATAAGAGAGAGAGGATAGCGTATGTTGAGATGGATGACGAAGATCCAGAATCCTTCGACGATACTATAATTGTCGAAGAAGGAGAAGTCGATTTAGCGGAACTAAAACAAGGGCCACCATACTCTTGCAAACTGTTAGTCCCCTCAAGTGGGAAAAATCCCATTGGTCCAGAAAGGACCAACGATAGGTTCCCCAAAAAGACTTATAGTTTTGACATCACAAAATGTGATGAGATCTTTGACTTGCTTGTAAAAGATGGCCAAATGATAGTACCCCCAGGGGTAAAAGTGCCTCCTCTTGATCAAAGAAAGAAGAGAGGCTTTTGCAAATATCATAATTTTTTGGGCCATAAAACTTCTCAATATTTTCTTTTCAGGAATCTTGTGCAAGACGCTATCGAAGAAGGGAGGTTGAAGTTTGCTGACAAAACCCCCATGGCTGTCGACTCAAATCCATTGCAGGCTGAAGCCCACTATGCTGAGCCTTCTGAGGTGAACGTGATCGAGGCAACCAGGAGCTAGTCAAAGAGGCCAGGAATCACAATGGTCGAAGTCTCAAAGGACCATATCAACATGCCAATCTTTGGCAGTTTTTCTGGGAATTTACCCAGAAAGACAATTGAAGCAGTTCAGAAAGCGGTCGAAAGCCCAAAGCTGGAGACCGTTGAAGCACAAAAAACTGGACCAGAACCCAGTTCTCACTTGGCCACAGTTCAAGGCCAGACGGAGAATTTGGAGATACAAATGAAGCAGTTAAATCTTGCCAACAAAGATACAATGAATATCAACATGGTCGAACTCTCTGACCCAAAGGCATCAGAAGAGACCATGAGGCAAGAACAAGCTAACAAGACTGCTTTCCCTCGGGAAAATGAAAATCTGGCAGATTTTCTGCAAAGATGCCAGAAAAAGAAGTTAGAGGTGATGCTGTGTCCAAGATGCAATTCGATCTTTGACAAAAAAGCTGCTGAGCACATTCAAGGCGTAAGAGCAGCAAATAAGAGAAGGGAAAATGCTGATCTTCGACATGACCCCATAAGAGCCTCCCAAAGAGGTTCAAACCAAGAAAAGAGGCCATTGACTTTCAGGCCTCCAACAAATGTGCCGGTAGATACCTGGTACAAAACATCTGGTCGAAAGAGGCCAAGCGAGGAGAGATGGCACTCTTTCGACGTGCCAAGGGGTTCATCTTTAACTCAAAAGAAAGAGCCTCAAGTTGCTGCACCTAAAGTTGCACAAGTGTCAA